TTTCTTTAAAGTGCAATATTTTCTTTAAAGTGCAATATCATTAAAAACAGTATGAAATAGATATGAAAATCTCAACATATTTTTCTTTGGTCAGTGGTGTCGCCTTTTTTTCAAACATGAATTCTCCACCAAGAATCATCCACGAATCCTCCACCTCTACAACTCAAAGCCTTGTCTTCACTCTAGAAGACCAACTGAAGCTACACAGAACTTCAATTTCTTAAAAGTAACACCCTCAGTCAACATATCAGCAGGGTCAACATAGTTTTGCACCTTCAAGCTATTTTCTGAATTACTCTTCTCTGCTTACAACTCCCACTGTATGGGCAATATCCTACCTCTGCTGAAAGTTTTTTTCAACAAGTCTAGCCTTGTACCTCTTTACTGTTATAATTCTCAGTCTTCACTTGGTACATCTACTTGTTGTGTAATGCATTCTTCTCTAGTAGAATGTTGTTAGCTCCCACTTGCTCGAACTTTCATCTTGCAAGATTTCTTTATAGCTCTTTGGTTCTCCATTATCTGTCTGTGGAACAATATAAATGGGTGCCCCGGACCCACTATCCTTTTCACTTCTATCATTAATAGAACTATGAACTACCAGCAATAGTGCATCATGTACTTCTTCAGATACCACATTTGCGCTATCATTCTCCATCTTCTTGAGATTCATGCAATTCCTCTTTATGTGGTCAATCTTACCACAATTTCAGCATGTTGCTTGCTGACCAGACTTTGATTTTGATCTCCCTTTATTTGAGTTCATGTCCTATCATCTCCCTCTGAAATCAACATTCAATGTCAAACTTGAACCTGAGATCCAGCCAGAATCTTTTCTGCAAACTTCCTCAGCCAAAATTAAATCACGAATATCATCACATTTCAGTTTAGATTTACATGCAGAACTGCTAACCGCCATCCTCATGGTTTCCCAACTATTTGACAATGATACCAACAATATCAGTGCACGTTTCTCATCATCAAAATTAATTTCAACAGAAGATAATTGATTTGTGATAGTATTGAAATCATATTGAAAAGTATTGAAATCATTCAGGTGTTGAGCAATAGAAACACCTTCCATCATCTTCAAATTGAATAACTTCTTCATCAAGTACACATTGTTATTCGTCGATGGCTTTTCATACATATTTGATAAGGCTCCCATGAGATCTATAGTCATCCTATCCCTGAAGATGTTGTGTGCAACGGACATCGATAGAGTCAGGCGAATAACCCCAATAACTTGTCGATCCAACAAATTCCATTCAGCCTCATCCATCCTTTCAGGTCTTTTACCCAATAACGGAAGATTGAGTTTCTTCCAATAGTGGTAGTTCTCTATCTGCATTCCTCAATAACAAAAATTTGTGCCATCAAATTTTTTGCTTCATGAAACCTTCACTTCATTTGCAGCCATCATTCTTCCTCAGATTCGAACAAAGCTCTGATATCAATTATTGAGTTGTTGCGAGATATACACCTACCAGTTGTTTTAGTATATCCCTAAATTAAATAGGAGAACGATCGACGAAGCAAAAAATAGAACGAGAAAAATCACTCTAGAAAAGAACACACAGATTTACGTGGTTTGGTAAATTGCCTACGTCCACGGAGTTGCAGAGGATTTTACTACTTGAGGAATTTACATCAGTCGATCACCTTGACTTACAAGAGGAATCTCTCACTTTGTTGCTCTCTCTTCTTTTCTCTTTACACCTAGATACACCAAAGAAACTCTACACCGAGATACCCCGAAGAAGATAAACTTACAAGAGAAATAAACTCAATTTCTCTTCTGCCACAAGCCACCAAGAAGGCACCAAGATAAACTTATTGAAATATTCCCCCGCGTTAACTGATCTGGGGTTGTGTTATTCCAATAAAATAGTGGAAATTGAAATAACATGAAGAATATGTTGAATGACACAATCTCAAATCAAGTAACGTGGGGAATATCTAAATAAAACCGCAGAATAATCGAATAACATCATATAATACTTGAACATTTTTTTTTACAAATAACGCAGATGAAATATTATTGTAACACAGCGGGATGTTTATAACTATTGCAATCCGAAAATAGCTCTACATTCGGAGTCCTGATTTAATATTTTTCCCTTTCCCCTCGTGCTGCAATAGTTCATTAAGCGATAGTTGGGTAATGGTTCTCACTTGATTTTTATTTTATTTATTTTATTTCGTTTCCTATATTGATATTAAATTAAAAAATATATATATCTTAAATCACAATCATTTATCTTATCACAATCATATTATTAAATATCACATTGCAAATTATGATTAAATTTATAATATTTTAATAACTTTTTAAGATAAAATTACCTCACATTTTCTTATGCCCAGCAATCATTCAAGAAAAATATTTTATAATGACTATAAATAAGGCATTGAATCATAATTTTTCATTTCATTTTTTTACATCCAAAGCATGATTAATACATATTAGTAAATCATGTTTTAGGACTGTTTAGTTGGCTTTTAAACTCACCACATGTTACTCTAGCCATTTTGTCAAATAGAAAGAAGAATAAAATGGAGCGTGAAAGATGAACATGTTTCAAAACAACAATTATAAGTTTTAATATAAAATATAAATATATCAAATAATTATTATGTAATTGAATAAATATAATATTTTAAAAACAACTTCCATTCATAATTATGTTATATGATATGTTTTTTTAAGGCCATTTAGATAATTAAACTTAGAAAGATATACACACAAACCACTTAACTCCTACGCCTAAACTTCAATTTTTATACATGCACGTCACCTGACCTATACATGAAAGATGCCTCATTGTTTAAAAGTTAAAATAGTGATTTCCGATATGATATGAAAGCTTTCGATGATATAAACAAAAAACTAGAGTTTAGGTGTTCGATTTGTAAGTACATATGAATTGGGTAGTATCTAAATGAAAGCACAAAATGTTGATGCAATGTGTCCCATGCATACGACTTGCATAAACTGTTAGAAGCTTAAATAGCTCGATCAGGGTAGATTAGTAAGAGATTTTTTTTTTTATCTCAAATGCATTGTGCAAATCTACTGAAACATATTTATACAGATGTAACAAAATACCATAAAATTCAACACATATTTACACGCCATCTTTACAAGCAATTCTAAAATAAGAATGAGACAAAGTAAGAGAACAATAGCAATGTTTATTCAAACCAAACGATGCAGAGAGGGAAGATCTTAATAAAACTCACGACCAGGGAAGATAAAAGGAGCCAAGAGAGTCCACACATACAGAGCAGCTGTTGTCCATTGTGTGCAGATACGGATCCAACCGAAGTCCATCCAACGTTCATCTGCTCCGAGCTGCCAGTTTTTGAGCCACTCCATCCAGTAAGAAGCATGGCAGAATACATACTGGCCAGCGCAAATATAAGATGGAAGAAGAAATAAGAGTAGGTAACAGGCTTTGCCTCATTCTTCCCTGATTCGATTTCTCCTTCCAACAGCGGCTTGGATGAACCTGCAGCACAATTGATGTGAGAATTGGTTGATGGATAAAATGAAGAGTGAAATTTGAATAGATGTTTTAGAGGTACCGGATTTTGGGGAGGATGGGGGGGAGAGAAATGTTGTTGAGGAACCGGCCCTGACAACAGAGTAAACAACTGAGAGAACGGTTGTTAGCATTCCCAAAACAAGGGTAGCTGTCGAAACGGATTCTGAGTGGTTGTTGAGACCGTTGCATTCGTAGTCTCGGGGCTCACTTGAGAGAGCGCTGTAGCATAGATAAACGCAATACACGGAGATGACAGAAGCAGGCAAGAGGCTGCCATTCACCTGTGTTTCAGAGAAAGTTACTGCATGTTTGAATGTTCAATATTTTATGTTTAGTTCCCACAATGAAAAGAATAAAGACATTAACATGAGAGAGAGAAATCGTCATTAGCCTTCTCATAACTATTTGGGGTTGGCTTCGAGAGAAAATCATTATTAAACCCCCTGAATAGAAGGGGTAGCAGGATGATGGAATGCAAACAGGAGACCATATAAATTTAATGTAACAGAACTTATCTATTAGTTAAACTAATATTATGACAATTTGATAAACCATGGTACTTTTAAAGAAGAAAGATGTCCTACCAAATAAAAGAGCCAATAATCGAATGGAAATTTCAGTGGGGTAAGCGCGGCCCGAAAAGTGTACTAGTTTATATCATAAAGTTTCTAGGAAAACATTCCTTCATATTTCAGCAGCCTGATTGTGAAAGTGAATTTGCTATTAAATAATCTCACGGAACAGATAGTTTAATAGCTTATATAGCAAAATGAACAAAAAAAGAAATTACTGCTAACTTAAATATGGTCAATCAATCTCAGCCTTTATAGTCAGATCGACAGTTTTTATGATAATTTCCTAATGATATAGAACATCATAACAAGAAAGGACAACTTATGCCCATACTAATTTAGATGTTTTATGTAAGCTGTTTAAACAATAAAACAAATCATTATCTAACCACACAATTCCTAATAGTAACTCGACTAGCAGGTAACATTATGGGTGCTCAAGCATTGATTTTATAAGTTATAGCTGTAAATACATCAATGATTAAAATACAATTGAATATAAGTACATAAACGACCTACAAAGAAAGAACAACTGATCAGACGTAGCAATAGATGATCGTTTCAGGTGAGCAACGACAGAGAAAACACTTTAGTCGAAAGATCGACAGACAAAAGGACGCCCCTCGGAACGATCATCAGCCTTCAAAACAATCGATGGAGGGACTCCTTCGGACAAAAATCGATTGAACTAAGACCTGCCAGAATATCAGGCGACCCTTATCAATCGAATTGGTCTCAAGCCTTATTATATACAAACCTTGTAAATTACCAAAAAACTACCCATAAAGGTTAACAATTAGGGGCTATTATGTACTTTTATGATATTGGGACCTAGGCCTATAAATAGGAGTTCATATTATGAATAAAGAATACTCTTTTGCTTGTCTACTACCACCTCTCTCTCTCTCTCTCTCTCTCTCTCTCTCTCTCTCTCTCTCTCTCTCTCTCTCTCTCTCTCTCTCTCTCTCTCTCTCTCTCTCTCTCTCTCTCTCTCTCTCTCTCTCTGTACGATGAGCATGGAAGCATGTCTTCAATAAGAAGAAGAAACCAACAACAAAAACAACAAGTGACGAGTCAGAAGAACGAAGAAGTAGCATGTACCCGAGAGTTCATGGAAGAATTTGTTCAGGAAGTGTTGCAAGACTTGAGAAACCAGATCAACTGTTCGTTGAGGTCTTTAGGGCGGTCGTTGCTTTAGTAGCCCCTCTAGTTCCAGTTGGAGAGTTAGCACCCCGTAGTTAATTACATCTTAGATAACCAGAGTCACCTAAGAAAAATCTCGATAAAAATCAGGAAATATTATCTTCAAATGGGTCAAAATGATTAGGACTTTTTAATAAAATCGGACAAAGAGGTGTGAAAGGGGAATGACTCAAATTTGGAATATTTTATTTTAGAATCCAAAGGATGAAGAACTAGGAGATATCATAAGATGTCACGAATCCTGATGAGATCCTTAGTGACTTCCCAAGCTATCCTATGGTTTGACTTCAATTTAAAAGAGAAATGTTTAAGTGTTTCATCCTACCAATTTTATTAATTAGGGCTTATATTCGTATGAAACGATCACACAAATAGCTTGAAAAATGTGAGGATTTAGGTCGTGACAAACGACAACCTCGAAATCCTAAAGCAGGTTAGGGCTTAAATTGTATAACAGAGCTATACGAAAGCCTAAAGAAAATGTTGAGGATTTATGTCGCATAAGCAAACAACCACGAAATCTTATGGCTTGTTGTTTAAATCTAAAGAAAGATATGTTGTTGAAGATGGTCGTGCTGCCCACAATGCTAGCTTCAAGCTCGTCGTGACGAGTTTAAGTTTTCTAATGTGTACAATTATGATGTTAAATCATACGTCCCTATGGAAATGGTCATTTAAATATTATGGGGCATATTAAAGTTGATTAGACCGACACCGGTTAGGATCCTATGGTTCCCTCGTTCCGGTACCACTATTTTCTATCAGATTCACTTAGTCCGAATGAATTTACTAAACTCAACTTAATGAGTTTCATACTTTCCTTTAGACCGTGGAAAGCCTCGATAGCAACCATAGGTTACCTCCCCCGAGGGATTCCCGAACTCATCCGAGATTCTCGATCATCCAATAGAAACGTCTTAATTTAGTTGCAATTGTTGTTTTGTGATGTTTGTGATTAAATTTTGAGTTGTCTTATATTTTTAATGTTGTGGCAGTAGATTTTATCTTGGTTCATTTTAATTTTGGTTTTAGTTTCAGTTTTGTGGCTATCCTAAAGGTTTTAGTTTTCATGCAGCGTGACAACGTTGTTTAGCATGCAAGTTTATGAACGTAAAAGTACAACGTAGAAAGTACGAGAAAAGAAAGCGCTGTAAACTATAAAAGTGTACCTGACGAGTCATCTCATTCCTCCACCTGAAACTTCAGTATTTGCAAAGCATATATATCTATAATTTTGTAGGAATTAAAGCATGCTTGTAGAAAAAGTAGGAAGTACAAGCTTAAAGAATGCCTACAAATCCTATGTCACATCTTAGTATATTTAAAATTTTAAGGATGATTCCGTTGAGTAAATTATAATAAGCCCACATGTCTTTCAAGACATTCAAAGGATCATGAAGAAGTTTTGGGTAATATCTTAGACATTTCATGGTCCCCGAAATTATATTGAGTTCATTATGGTTTTATCATATTTTTTATATAGTTCACCCAGTTAATACCCGTATGCTCAGTAAAATTTGATGTTTTGATTATCCCTTAAGTAGGGTAATTATCACTTGATATCTCACTTATGAATTGTATAGGTAAAGACCTTTGAGGTTAACTCAACTCAATTAAGGAATTTAATTTTAAAGAATAGACTTGCAGTGTTTTGGAAGGTTCTAAATTAATTATAAGCTATTTTCTAAACCTCATTAGATAATATTTTGATTAATCCTAGTTCACTACTAAGCTCTTAAAATTTAATGGGTGGATTTATAATTTAAGAAAAAATATTTTTTTAATGTTTATATTTATATTCTTAATCCTTATCATGAATTATAAATCATCCCAAAACTATTAGTTGGGGCTTAAAATCAATGAGTTATAATCTTCTAAAATCAAACCCCTCACCTTGATATCTCCCTATTTAATCTTCTAATATTCTTCTAAATTTCATTAATTTTGAAAAATTGCAAATTTATCTGTTATAAGACCAAAATGGAATTGGTTTCTACCACTTATCCCTTTTATCCCTTTTTGTATTTCAATCATCAAGACATGTTATTTTAAGATCATCCATTACCCATTTACAGTCTTGGTTAGGCCTAAATATTAATTAAGCTCAAATTTCTAAAATTACACTTTTGCCCCTAAGGTCTTAGTACCTTATAATTCATTAAATTAGACTCAAATGACTTAAAAATTTTATGTTACCTCACTCATGGATTAATTAAAACATCAGAGGAGAAAATATGATTTTTCTGAATTTATTTAATTTCATAATTATTTTAATGCAAAAATAGGGATTTTCAATGAAAATTTAATAACTCAACTAAAATAAAATATCTGTCCTTAAGAAAATTATTGGAGATTCACCTAGGTCAGAAGACCACTTCGACCAATTTTCATGATTTTTAAGAAATTTAATTTAATTATTAAAATTGTTTGTTGGTTTTAAATATTAATTAAATATAAAATAATATTTAAAACAAAAATTAAGTTTTATATTTTTATTAAATCTCTCTGAGTCCAGGGACCCAAAGAAATAAATTTCATATTTTTTTTTATTTATATTTTAATTATTAGAATTATTTTAGTGAAAAATTAGAGAAAATTTATTTTTAAGCCTTTTAAAATCAATATCTTGACTTAGACAATCAAGAAAATTATTTTAATTGGTTCTAGATGATTAAGAAGCTAAATGTGATAATTTAGTGTGTTTTTACAATTTTGTGAATTTCATGTTTTTTAATTAATTTCAATTAATTTAAATGCTTAAAATAACTCAAAAAAATGAAGTATTAATTTTAATTCCAATTTTATTTTCCTTAAGTTTCGCTGATCATAAGGAGCTCCTAAAACCAATTTGGTGATTTTTTTTTAATTGCATTTTAATTATTATAATTATTTTAATGCCAAAAATTTTATTTCCCTTAATTAATCCATTTGAGTGGTCAAATTAACTCCAATTGACCTGAATTTTTTATGGGGAGATCTTTTAACATTAAATTACAGTGTGAAATAATTTTTATGTTATTTACATTTATAATTATTCCAAATTAATTTTTTTTTCATTTTTAAGGTTGGTGACAATTAGGGTTATTTTAAATGAATTAAACCAAGTTGATGTTTTTCCTAGGATCCTCTAACTACAGTGAACCTACCAAAATAAGTTTTGTATTTTTATGATGAGTATTTTAATTATCATAATATTTTACCAAAACAGAGATCATTAACTTAAAAATTAGATATCTATGCCTAGAGATCTCCCCTGACCTTGGAAAAATCATAAGGAGCATCCTAAAAACATGTAGAATAAAAGCTCCAAAGCTCAAGTCATGGGAAAATTTATATGAAAATGGAGAGTTAAAATAAGTAAAACACCATTTAATTATTAAAAATAATATATGCATTAAGTAAACTTGAAAATATTTTCACATTGTTCTCCTCTCTCCACTAAGGAACAGGGTATTTTTATTTTATTTTTATGATTTTTCTACACAAAGTTATGCATTTTTTAAGTTTTGGGAATTAAATAAATAAGAAAAATCCCCTAATTTTCTACTTATCCGCTTCAACCTCGTACGTGTCAAAGAGACGTGTGTCGCCGTGGGATTGGGCGTCGTTGTCTGCGTCAGCTCTCCCTTTTCAAACCGTAGCTCTGTTCGGTGCGATCAGGACAGTCCAAGTGATGCACGTTCGATCGGACGGCGCGTGGTCATCGTCCCCAATGAATCAAGTCCGCAAACCGTCCATTTTCTAGGGTTAATATCTTGCTTGATTCTCAACCAAATAAAGTGTAGTTTCTTCTTATAGACTCGCCTTGACGAGGAGAACATATTTATATGATTAATTGTCCCATTAATCAACTCTATGTGAATGGAGAGTGAAATGAAGCTCGGTTTAAGGTTAACTTTCAATACCTTGCCCAAGAGGGGTAGCCTCGATTGAATGCTTGTGGAAGCTTTGTGGGGGTTGCAAGAACCTAGGGATGGAGCCTCAAGCCGTGGTGAATCGCCTAGACATGATTTCGACCAAAGTTGATTTGGGAAGTTGGTCAAATTCCACCTTAGGGTGCTCTGGTGATAGAGCTTTTGTGGGGAATCTTCTTCTCTTGATGTAGGGATGGTGTGAGTGCAATTAATTTAGATTTGGTGGAGGTTTGGTCAGTGTCCTGTTTTAGCCTCAAATTAGGGTTAGAAAATTGGCTTTATTCAGTAGAGGAGAGGGTTGGAAAATGATTGCATTGCACTTAGGAGATCTTGAAGAAGCTCTGAAAGCAATTTTGTAGAGTCTCCCCAAGGAATTTCAAGCTCTCCTCCTTTGGCCATGGAGGGGGGTTTAAATAGATAGGGAAGGAGAGGCCACCAGAGGCAATTGGTGGGTGTCCTAAGTTGCTTATGTGGATGCAAACAATGTGAAAAAATCCAACTGAGATGAGCCACCTTGGATAGGTTTAATTTTGAATTTTGGCCATGGTGGAGCTTTTGATTTTAGGTTTCCGACCACCAAGGTGGTTGGCCGACCAGAGATTGGTCGCCATCCAACTCAGGGAGGCCAGGGCTTGGTCTTAGTGAAGTCAATTGGGGTTGGTCATGT